AATAATGGTTTGAGATTGAACAAAGCACCAAATAAATAGAACTTAAAAGTATAAGAAACTATAAAAGTAAGAAAAAAACAATGAAAATTTTCATACAAACTAATTCATTAGTGTAAGGAGACAGAATAAAGGCCTACAGTTTGTACAGTATAAAACCCATTACGTCTATGGAGAGTCCCCACAAAGATAGTGGACCAGTGTGTGTGTATGCGCGCGCTTATGTGTGTGTCGTGTGTATGCGCGCGCTTATGTATGTGTCGTGTCCTGTTATTCATAGCCTAACGTTACATTGCGGGGAAATGTCTCCACGTGGATAATATTATTAGCAGTAAATGTTTTGTAAAAACAAAGATAATAACAGCAGCTTTCAACCTTCATGAAAACATGACATCTCAAACATACAGTACTTTAACGTTTAAACTTTAACGTTTGTTTGTGCTTGACGAACTTGTTTTGGTGTTGCACCCGCGTCTCGCAAATGAAACGGCATTCTAAAAATGCTGCGCTCCAGTTAAAAGTCGAACTTGCGTCTCATTACCTTGTTATTTCCCATTCCACCGCAAAAGATGCATCCTTTATGAACAGCCGCTTAGCACTAGCGATGTGTTCTACGTTACGGTCCTTCATTGAACGCGTCACAGGACAGCGGTTAATCGCCTCAGCAACTTCACGCATGAAGCGCCAAATCAGCCATTTCCTTAAACAGCGTATTCGATTCTGTATCGTCATTAGTGTTAACAGTTGTAAAGAGTTGGCTACCAAATTGAACAAAACAATATAACTGCAAAATTTTAATTTATGAATACGGTATCCTCGGTATCGCAAAATCCATATCATGGCACAACATAATACCGGTATTCACGTTCATACCGGTATAGCGCCCACCCCTACATGACGCAACATAACACTGCACTCTAAGTACTTCAAGTAACAACAAAATATGGTTATGAGCTTTAAACTGTCCAGTAAAATAAATTATATTTGTTTATATACGTTTAAATAAGTCGCACTCTGTCTCTCTCTCGCGCACTGTCGAGCGCGTTCTCAGACACACTCGGTCTCTCTCGCGCAGTGTCACTTCGCTTTTGTCCAGTCTGGCGCATCATAGACAGACGTTGTGTCGCCCAGATTTGCTTCCCCCTGTCTGCATTTTCCGCAGACATACGTTCTTCTCGCACACAAAAACAGAATTTCATTCCAAATATGTAAAATTCCGCGAAATTCCGCGAAATAAAGGTGAACTAAGTAACTTTTTTACCTTAACCGAACAGCTTTGGAGTCATTGTAATGTTTATATTACTGATTTCGTGTTGAATGGTGGTCGTCTCGCACCCCCCTGGTGCCTGTGAGCCGCAAAACCACCCTTGCAACTTTGGGCCGGCGGGCCGTGTATCGTGTGATATCAGGTCTCGCGAGGTAACGAATTGCTTTACGGCAAAAAACAGATCTGATAAAATTCTGATAAAATGAGCATCAAACAGAAATAACCCGGCGCCGTATACATGTGGTGTTCGAGGCGCACATACAATACAGACTGCCGACAGTTAAACAGGGCGCGCGCGCAGCTCTTAAAGGGGCCACACCTTATTTCCACTCGTTACAGCGTCCATCCTACTGAACAGGTACCGGTGTACAGGGGGAGGGGATCCGGCCGTGAGTGCGAGCCATCTCTGCGTGAGTGCTATTCACGACAGTACAAGTACCCCACAGCGACTCTAGGGGTCGCTGTTTGACAAATGGAATTCCTACTTAGTGCTGCTTTAACACTAGATTCCGCGTTAATTGGCCAATTTCCGCGATTTTGTCCAAAATTATAGGGCCCTATTAACATTTCAGGCAATCAGTCTTTTTTTTTTTTACTTGTATGATAAAGTGTATGTAATTTTAAAGTCTAAAAAATACAAAGCAGACCATGTGCTATGTCTTTACTGCTTTAATACACCACTTAAGTAGCTAAATAAATGAGTTCAACTGTAATGTTTAGTGTTGTCACGATACTGGAATTTATAAAATATCGGTATTTGATCATCATGATGCCATTTTCGATATCACAGGAAAAGTCATATCTGCCATACAAATATTTTATTAATTAGGCTATCTCATCTTTTTTGTCTATCCATTGAATTTCTAGGCAATCAATATTAAATCCTTAAAAAGTATGTGACACACATTGTAACAGTAATCCGTATGAATAAAGCAGACTTTAATCCAAGTCTACTGTAGAGAGACGACTACTTTACTTTATTTGATGAATAGGTTAAAATAAACTTAGGCTAATAAATCTTCATTGTAAAAAAAAAAAAAAAAAGGTTAATCCTTACAATTAAAGTTAAAAAAGTTATTCGAGAGCAGTGAGTGATTGAGTAAAATTATGCACAATCCCACAACGAAATTGAGAACTTGTAACAAAAACACTATTCAAACGGAGCGAAATGAAAGCGTGAGTGAGAGGAGGCGGGTGTGTCCACTCACTGTCGGAGAGAAGAGACAGAGAGTGAGAAAGTGCAGATGCTATTGGTGTATCGATACCGCGAAAAAATTAGTATTGGAACAGTTTCAGATGAGTATCAAAAAACCTATATTTTTAACACTAGTTTAGCATAATGCTTAAATTTTCCCAGTGTTATTTGAATTGTATACAAGGATAGCTTTTTAAATGCGGTTAAATTAACCATCATGGAACCTCAAAACTATTTTTGAACACTACATAGTGCATTTTGGCCTTCTCCATGAAGGATATATGCAACGCAGCCTTAAGCCCCGTACACACCGGGACGAATATCGGCGCGCGTTATTCGTCAGCGCTTTTCAACGCGTTTTTTTGTGTTCACACCCAAGCGATTCTCGCTGACGATGAGCCGAGTGAACATGCAAATTCATTCCCTGACATTAGATGGCGCTTGATGTAAAACAGAAATAGTCCTATTTTGTAGTCGCTGTCGCGTTTGTCATATAGTTCTTTATGTTCAGACAACGAGACCAGCAGCTCTACATTCATCTTGCCTCGCATCTTCCTCGTCTTATTTCTTCCCGGCAGTGTAGACCATAGATATCCATAATAAAGGCCATTGGCCAGCAGCGCGGACGAGACATCTAGCCTTTATTATGGATATCTATGGTGTAGACGCTGGCGCATCTTCTTCGCCGTTACGTATGTGTGCTGCTCAGCAAGACCGTTTTTAGTGTTTGAGCGCCCTCAAGTTGTGTTTTACTGTAACTTCAGAAGCTCCAGACACGTGAGCAAAAGCGCCAATCTCATTGGTCGGATAGTTTTTGACGCGGCGCGTCAAACCAAAAAAACGAACCCGAGGCGTTTTAAAAAAAATTACGCTTTTACGCGTTGCGTTTTTCGCGCCGGTGTGCACACTCTCATTGGCCCCCTTTGTTTAGTCACGAGGCGTTAAACGTCGGCGAATATCGCGCGTGAAATTCGTCCCGGTGTGAACAGGCCTTTAGAATTTGGCAGTGTAATGAAGACGCCTTTTGGGCCAGCCATCATTTTAGCGTGCCTTTGATGCCTTACAATTCTGTCTATCGCATCTCACTAGATTTTGGAACAGTGCAATTGTCTGGGAATATTTAGTATCATTACACGGCTCTGTGGAATACTTGATTCTGATTGGTCAATCTCGCCATCCGGCGGTAGGTTATTCCCAGAAAACAACCGCTGAAAACCGATAACGCAGGCTCATCCGGGTTACTGAAGTCAGCAGCGCTATACGCTTGCTAGGAACGTTTTTTCTTCGTGGAAGTTTTGCGTTTGGTGAGCTAATAAATATTAAAACTCAGTCAAATCTATATTTTGTGTACAGTTATTTAATTATGCCATCCAGTATCGTGGACCCGCTCTCTCGTTTCATCATACAAACGCAGCTGCTGTCATTTTGACTATTGTTTTGTACACTGTTGGATTATAAGCTACAAACAGGTACGATCTACGATCAAAAATAAAACAGTTTAATCAGGCGAAATGCTGTGTAATAGGCTAAGTGGTATGACTGTATACCGTATCCCTTAAATGTGCGTCTAGTTTGAACTTGCCGCTGCAACTGCTCTCTCCGCGAAATATTAAAATATTTCAACTCGGATCAATATTTCGTGTCTAATTATTTACATGGCAAGTAGCCGTGTAATGAGCGGGATAATGTATATCCAGCCGGTTGTTATCTCAGAATAAACCCCCGACAGGGTGATGAAGACCCTGACGCGAAGCGGAGGATGTAAGACTTGCATATTGCAGTCTTAACCATATACAAGGTTCACCTTATAATGAACTGTTATGGATTTTCTTGTTCTACTCTCAGCAGTATACGACTATTTCCCTGTGGTAGAGCTCCTGTGTGATTCCTGCACTGAGCTGCTGTGCTTGAAGTCGAGGCATAATGGCGTCTCATTAGATGGCGATAATGACAGCAGGGTGAGCCCTGAGGAGCCCACCCGGAGAAGAACGCCCAGAGAAACCTCACAGCGACTCTCGCTCCTTCACGCCTCAGGGGCCGATAGAGAGAGCTGAGGCTGAGGGAAGGAGTGAAAAGCAGGAGGAAGTGGGTGATTTGAAGGAAAAACAGAGGGAGAAGTGGTAAAGAGGGATGGGGGGTGTGTGCATAGACAGTAATCATTGCGAACAATGGTATTTTTTTTTCAAATGTCAGTTTTAATGTGCTTGTGCTGCAGCATTTCACTATAGTCTTCCTCGGAGAAGTCACGTATGTTAACATGCACTATCTCCACTCAACACAGACTGGATATTTGTGTGTCTCTGATTGTAAGAGACAGGTCATGAGGTTTAACCTGTTTGTGTGATCTAGTTTTGATACTATGTAAGCTCTGGGGAATGTGGTACCTGTGTGTTTGTGAACACATGACATGACCCGGGAGACTGTTAGATATGACTTCATGTGCTTTTTTTCTGTCTATCTATATGAAGTGAGCACAAGTGCAAGCGGTTTACAAACCTCTAGAGTGACCTGTGTGTTTGTGTGTGTGTGTGTGTCACTCAGGTCCTATGGAGGAGCTGCACAGTTTGGACCCGCGCCGGCAGGAGTTGCTGGAGGCCAGGTTTCTGGGTGGAGTCAGTGGAAACACAGTGGGCAGCACTGGCAGTGCTAGCGGAGGAACCAAAGTTAGTAGCCGAGTTTACCACCGGACTGTTATTTCAAACACACAAGTTTTGCAGACAATGGTTATGTCTGAAGGAGAATGTAGTGTTTTTGTATGGAAGGCACCATTATGCCTCGTGTTTGATCTAGAACAAATTCAAGGACAGTTTAGAGCTCACCAAGCAAATATTGACCATAATGCCTATTGACTATAATACATTTGTAAATGTATTTGTTTTAGCTGGTTCTTCAGACACCATTTTTATTCACCAATCCTTGCACACAGGCTTGTGGGATACAATAGGCCGAGGGTTTTCATCCGGGTGTCCGCAGTGGAACTGCTGGAGTCCGTCGATTAATGTCCGATTACACAAGTTTTTGGTGAATTTATACATGGGTAAAAAACATCACAAATATTTTTTTGTTAAATTAATAGGGCTGTCAAATGATTAATTGTGATTAAATAATAATATATTTTTTATTTAATAATAATTTAATAATAATAATATTAATAATAATATTATTGTATATTATTATTATTAATAATGTTATATTATTATAATAATAATAATAATAATAATAATTTAATTAATAATAAAAGTTTTTTTTACATAATATATGTGGGTGCACTGTGTATAATTATTTTTTATATATAAATACACACAAATATTTTCATGTATATACTGTATATAGATTTATATATAATTTATATTAAATATAAATATAAATATTTTATATATAAATAATATTTTTTTCTTAAATATACGTGTGTGTGTATATATATATATATATATATATATATATATATATATATATATATATATATATATATATATATATATATATATATATATATATATACAAAATAATTATACACCGTGCACCCACATATATTATGTAAAAAAAACTTTTATTTTGGATGTGATTAATCGTGATTAATCATTTGACAGCCCTATAAATTAATATACATGGGTAAAAAATAACATCACAAAGTCGAATTTAAATAAGCACCCTTAAAAAAAAAAACAAGAACACACTCAAGTGTGTGTAATAAAATCATACTGGCGTAACGCCACTGCGTTTGTGTTTGCGCTCTGGAGAACGTCAGATGTTTCTATTTATTAAAACAAAACTTTTGTTTTTGCAGCGGTGAGAAATGTAACCAATAACAGTCATATCTGTTGATCTCTTGAATGCAATGGCCAATCAGAGATTTTTAATTTAGTCAGAATCCAGTCACCGCTCAAAACGCATTAACAAATCCTCTCATTCACAAACAAAGACGTAAATAAGCAATTCATTATGCAGTCTAGACTACGGTACTTTATTGATTTTACTGGAGCTTTGTGAGACCGCAAACTGAAATGAGTGTCTGCTTTTTCGGTGAATGTAAAGGGAGCGGTATTTGTGCTCTTTCGAGGCTATATGTAATCCTTTTTTTTTTATATATATAATTTTCATGTCAAAATAGATACGCGTGATGTAAATGCAGATTAATAGAAACATATTTGTATCAATCACTGATCTATATAAATGACTGGATTGCTCATCAGGCGGTGAAGCCACCGGAAGTGTTCGAGCGGCTATTTTACTCTTCCCCATTGTAGGGATGCACGATGATATCGGGACAACATCGGTATCGGCCGATAAAAGCTTAAAATGACCATCATCGGCATCGGCCGATATGAATATTTGTGCCGATGAGTCTTGCCGATAGGGTGGCGTGTTTCCTATGCGCACGTGACGACCGTGAACGAAGCATGAGCGCCAGCAACTTAAACTTCCAACTAGGGGTGTGCGTATCACGGTTTTTGATCGTGGACGATTAAAATGTCTCCACGATCTGCTTTTGAAGAAAAATCATAGTATCGTGCATTCTATCAGTTCAATTCTGGCGCCTTCATCTCAACATACTGTACAACGCGACGAACATTCACATCACATGTAAACGCAGAGGTAGAGTTACACTCACGGGAAACTGCAATTCACAAAAGTTCATTGTTTGCATGTGCGTCAAAGTCTTGCTGGTTAAACATGTCATTCACGTGCTGATGCGCTGTTCTAACATCCGCTTTTCTGAGCGCGTTCCACGCGACGCTCACAGGAACTAAAGCCGTCACAGCGCCTGCATACTGGACTAATCTTTCGAGTCTTATTGCGCTGATACTGTCAAATACACACAAGGTTTACATAAACAAAGTTGGTTATGTCTAAAGTAAAAGCAAACAGAGAAAATCTGCTTGTCAAATGCGTGTATATTAGACGCGTCGCGTTACTCGCGTGCAGTTCTTAAAGAGACAGTAATAATATTCTGCCGCTTGTCTTTAAAGAGATACTGCACCCAGAAATAAAAATTCTGTCTATCTAATGTTGTTTCAAACCTGTATTCATTTCTTTCTTGTGCTTAAATATACTATGGAAGTCACTGGAGTACAGCAACTGTTTGGTTAGCCACATTCTTCCAAATAACTTTTATAATTTCAACAGAAGAAAGAAACTTGAGAGAGTAAATGATGACAATTTAAATTTTTGGGAGAACTATCCCGTTAATGTTAATAAAACAACAAAACACAGAGGAAATCACTCACTGCTCTTGACTGAGAACATTAATAGAAGCTTTAATAAGCTTTTTTTGCACTTAAAAAAAATATATATATATCGTTATCGGTATCGGCATCGGGCAAAATTAGTTTGAAAATATCGGCATATCGAATATCGGCCAAAATCCTATATCGTGCATCCCTACCCCATTGATTTACAGCCAAAACATTGACCTAAAACCACCCGATTTGCAACGTATCAGTTGCAAAGGATTAGATTTATGATATATACATGTAAATTAATTGTTACCTCAGATGTTACACAATGTTTATGGTCTTTTCGGAACGGATAAATCAATATATTAAAATCGAAAATGTGGGTGTGTCTGCACACTTCCGACCTAACTCAAAAATATCTTTCTTTTGTTTGGTTAAGAATTAACACGGTAGTAAAGCGTGCCGGTGATCATCTTTAGCTTCAGCTCATGCAGCTCAAAACAGCAATGCAGGACTGACATATTACATAACACTATAATGAGAACAGTGAAATCAGTGAATATTGTTGTGTGTTGTATCTGTCTTATCATTACTTTTCTATGTTGTTATTATTTGTGGACTGTAAAAAGTCATTTTTTGTTTTTATATCTTGATTTTAGGTTGCCTTAATAATAACTGGCCTGGGACAACAGATGAAAATTAGCCTGTTGAGCTAACTCTGACTCATTTACAGTTATTTTACTGTTAATTAATGAGCACTGTCCCTGTAAAATAAACCAATAAATGAAATGAAATGAAACAGTATTGTATTAAAACGTTGTGAATTGCATTATTTTATTTGTAAGGCAATCTTTTTTTTTTAGGTTGGCCATAGGAGTGTAAAATATTTTTTTAAACTAGGCTGTACTGTATATGTTTATTTTATGTTGAAGTGCACATGCATTTTAATGTTGAGACTTGTTTTTGTAATCAGGCTCTCAAAAATTATATAAAAATTTGGATTTCGATTTATCAGCCAATATATCGGGTTTCTGCTTTCAAATATAAAGAATTATTGTATCGGTCCAGTACATCCTTAACTGGATGCAGACGTGGCTTCTTTCCTTTGGATTCTGCTTGATAAGGCAGCATTTTAAATGTTCATGGAAGAGACTCATGTCTTCCTACTTTCGTAATGAGCTTTTTGAAGAAAAGATTTTTCTGAAAAGGAGGACATTGTGACCGTGAGGTTCATGTCAGGTTACAGTGGACCTCACGCTGAAACACACAATTCTCTTTCGCTGTTTGATGTATTCTTGCTTGTACAACTGTCCTCTCCTTTGAGTTGTCAAATCATTAATTCACAACATCTGTTGCATGAATACCTCATATTCATCCGCCTTTACTCTCAGCTGGCTCATCTGCTTTGATTCATGTAAATGTGTTTCTCCTGTACAGACCTTGACAAACAACGAATGTTCCAATCACAGTTTCGGTAGTCTGGGCTCCTCCAGTGATAAAGAGTCAGAGGTAAGTAGTGCTTTTTTTTTTTTTTTTTTTTTTTTTTTCTGTATGATTGTAATCTTTAAACCACATTCCTGTTATATATTTTGGCATATTTCAAACAGAATATCCAAATATTGCAAGACAATACACATCATGATTCATTACAGTTAGCGATATAGACTGATGTTGTTGCCCTTACTGATTAATCAGTTGATATTTTATAACTTTAAGATTAACGGCATTTGCCAATCATTTATTGGCCAATTAAAAGGATAGTTGAACCAAAAGACTTTCGTTCATCTTCAAAACTTAAAATGAAGATAATTTGAAAGAAACCTGAGAGATTTCTGTCCCTCCAGTAAAAGTCTGCAACCAAACCTGACATTTCAAAAAGCTCATAAAGACATTGTGAAAAGGGATCAATATGAATCGAGCGGTCTTCTGAAGAGAGACTAATGTTTTATATGATGAACAGATTAAATTTAGGCTTTTATTTACATATAAACATTCATCAACTCGCATGCACTGAGCAAAGATTTAATATCATCAGTAACATCACATATAGTGCTCAAATGTGCTTGCTTAATGTACAAGAACCAATGGCGTTTGTTCTCATGTCAAGCTAGTACGGTTGAGTTTCTGTTTACCATATGTGATGATAATGATGAAATTAAATCTGTTCGTCACAAAGTGATTGGGTCTCTTCAGAAGACTTGGAGTAACATTACTTTTACAATGTCTTAGAAAATCCACTGCACTTTCATTTGTATACTTCAATGGAGGAACTGAAATCTCTCCAGTTTCATTAAAAATATTATATTTGTGTTGCGTGCCGTATATCATGTATATATAAAAGGGTTTGGAACGACATGAGGGAGAGTAAATAGTCTTTTATGAGAAGTAGTCATTTGGCCTAGTCGGAAAGGTCAATCGATGGCCATTTTCTGCTTTCAAATCTTTTATTAGTGAATTTTGAGTAAATATTTGTTGAATAAGTGTCAAGAACACGGCTTTTATTCTTGGTAATCGACCTTCAGGGAGTAGACATTGTATAGAATGAAAACAAGACTGTGAAGGATAGACTTACAGTCTTTATAATGGCAAGCACTGCATATGGTCCTTCTGTACTTCTATCCAACACAGCCTTGTTTTTATTACGGTCAAAAAGGTATATTCCCAAGAAAGAAGGACTCCATCCTGTTTTGAATTTGCTGATCTTTGGCAAACTCCTCAGAAAATGCTTATTCAAAAGTACTCGCACACAAAATATCGTCTGTCTTCATTCATCATAGCAACTAGATCATGGGAATCATCCTTCAGGATGCTAATTTCCATGTAGGCATTAGGAGTCTTCTCGCCGTTCAAGAAGTGTGGCGCTCCTACTGTAATCAGGGAAGCTGGCCACTCGAGACGTTTGCATGTGATTGTCATTCACAGTCTTTTTGGATAAAAGCTGTACAGATACAAAGAAATAAATAGATGATCAGTAAAACGTTAATTGATGCACTGAGGCATTTGCTCCAAACTGAGATCTATAATGGATATGCTTTTCTAAACTGCTCACGGTTGAGTCCTGATGAAAGCTGTTGTTAATAACTCAGTTCAGCAGATGGTGCAGAGACGTTCTGTTGTGTTTTCTTTGAACCAGAGCGTTACAGAGAAATTGATGCTTGTGTGTGTGTGTGTGTGTGTGTGTGTGTGTGTGTGTGTGTGACTCAGGCCGATGGGAAATGTTCCCTGTAATGAAGCTCTAGTTTTGTGTGTGCTGAGGGCAGAGCTTCTGCCTCATAGAGGATGCTGTGTCACTGTGTGTGTGTGTGTGTGTGTGTGGTGTGTGTGTGTGTGTGTGTGTGTGTGTGACTCAGGCCGATGGGAAATGTTCCCTGTAATGAAGCTCTAGTTTTGTGTGTGCTGAGGGCAGAGCTTCTGCCTCATAGAGGATGCTGTGTCACTGTGTGTGTGTGTGTGTGTGTGTGTGTGTGTGTGTGTGTGTGTGTGTGTGTTGTAGCAGACTCAAGCTGGGTTGGCATCTGTCATAACCCCAAATAGTTAAACCATCAGCAGGCAAAGCACTACACATGTACACGCA